CTCGCCAGCAACTAAAATCTGACTTTCATGTGTTGAACCGTACATTTTTTCGTTACTACAGTGTTATTTGACAAAAAAATATTTGGTTGAAACATATCTCGCTTTTTGTCGGTTCAGATTTCGTTGGCAGCCCGTTTACCACGTGAAACAGAAGAAGGCAACAGCACCGAGGCCAGTTTTTTCGATAAAGTCAAAGGTTCATTTGGTCAATTGAGCGATAGCATTTCGAAAACATTCACCAAAGAAAATGCCGACGTATGTACTTTTGAGCTATTTTACCTTTTGGAATTGATTTGGTGGTCTCTAGTAGATTAACGTGATTTATTTTCAATTCATTTACAGAAAATCGTGAAATCAGTATCGGATGGTGCTGAAGAGTTTGGAAACAAAGCAAAGGAGACGTACCAAGAGCTTGCTGACAAAGCGTCAGATAAATTTTCAGAAATTAAAAAAGATATTTCAGGAAATCCTGATGGAACTGAAAATTCAAACTAAACTCCACTACACTCCATGCCATCAATTTGATGGAATGTTAAATGAAATTTTTATTCTACCACGAGCAGCAAAACTAACTATTCAACTTTTTTTCAGAATCAATTTTGTTGTAATGAAGAAATGTATTTCCATATTCAATTGAACCGAAGCACAATTTTTCATGCCGATTCTATGACAATAAAAAGGAAGTAAGCAAAACAAATTAATCAAACATGTGTGAATTTATTTATGCCCAAGATATATATTGCGCTATATGATCCTATGAATATCATATTACGATTATGTTGTGTATTGCTCAATTAACCAATAAAGAATAAAACATTATTGATATGAAATTCAACCTTCGATTAGCGAGGCATTGGTTCGTCTTTACAGATTTTTACTTTATTCTGGTTGTTTCTTTAACTATAAGGTTCTTTTCGATAAACCGACGTTTAGAACGAAAATCGCATAATAGTTTCAATTACGTATCAGTTTTCGCAAAATCTGATTAATTTTAATTGACACATTTACTAATGGATCATTTATCCTTATCCGCCCAAACCATCTTCAATGCACTTGAAATAAATTCAGCCTCAAATGTGTACAAACATTTACCAAATCAAGCGCTAGTGAAATGTTTGCAGATCATATTTTTCCCTAAAAACAAAAAAACAATTTTTGAATGATTTTCGAATTCTGGTTATGAATTAAAAAAATGTGAATAAACCTTGCTGAGCTTACGTAAATGAAAAATCACAAATCAAACAAGAAACGACCGAAGAAGAATGTCAAAGTTGTCGAACAAAGCGCATGGAATCTTTCAAGGAATTTTTGTTTTGTGTAGATTTAGAAACGTGTCGTTTTTCGTTTGAAATTGTTTCCAGTTCAGAGTTGCATATTATGCTATCACCTAGTCAGTATTTATGTACATTGTTCATGTAATTTTGAAATAATTTCCTAGAATTACAATCTATTAAAAAATGAACTTGTTCACAGTAAGAAGTAATTGCTTTATTTACTAAGCTCATTATACCAAGGATGCACTTAACTGTGTTGTCGAAGCATCGGTAGTTTCATAGAAAACACTTCAAACGACACGGTTAATGGATGCTTGATTATGGGCTTATTTGGCTTTGTTATACATTTTACGGTTATTTCAGTCGTATTCATCGGTAGAGGCATTTCACTTCGGGATCACCACTCAGATGAATGCTCAAAGAACAACTGCAACAATTGAAGCAATTTAAGAAATGAATACGCATTTCGGTGACAAAACATAAAGTACACCCGTTGGAATACAAATGACGATTTTTCAATTTGATTCATCAAAATTCCACACTATGCTGAACAAACCGATTATCACGTTTCGGCTACAAACTCTAACTAAACTAAATTAAATGATTTCCTCGTAGCAAACCGGCTATGTTATGACGTAGTTCATCATCAGCCAATTGACTGATAATCATTTTACAACTTTTCAGTCGGCGATTCACAGACTCACAAAGCTTCTATATGCAAATGCAATGTTGAATGGCCCAAACCATTTAGTTTGATTTCAGTATTCATTTTAGTACTTCCTCTCAAATACAATGTTATTGTTCCAAAGACTGTTGTCATTTTGTACTGCCTCGAATTTTCAAATTTGAACGACTTGTGCGACATAAATAGAGATTTCATTTGTGGATCGCAACAAATGGCAATGAAGCATTTTTAATTTTATACTTTGACAATGTGTGTTTTTAGTTAAAATTTTAATCCTATTTTCCAACCGCTGATTTTTTTTTGCATTGAGTTGTAGAAAATTGAAGATTGAAAGTTCCAGGCTAATTTTGAAATTCGAACTAATTCGAGTTTATTTTCCACGCGATTTGTCGAATAAAGTGAAGAATTTCGAGTCGCACCTCATTATTACGATTTTACAAAAGGATTTTAGTAATTTCGCTGAACTTTTTTTGTTTCACTTAGACTGATTTTTCATTTGGATTTCCATTTAGAATTTCCAATTTGATTTTCAACTTAATCTAACAACAATTGCAGTTTATATTCAAATGATGGATAGAAAGATCATATTCCAACCAAGTGTCGTCTCTTATTTTCATTGTATACTTGTTCTATCTCTTCTTACATATCTATGATGAATAAATGTTTTGATTGAGTTCACAAATCGATTCGATTTAGTGTAGTTGAGTGTTTTACGGACTTAACTTAATAGGAAAAATTTAGTGATGACGGAACATCTTTCGTTTGATCGAATGGGAATATATATTCATCATAAATAAAAAACCACTCGATCACTCCGTTTGGAAGTAATCCGTGGAGCGTGTTCATGTCAGCGCGTCGAATTTCATTACATTTTAATTCACTAACTACTTCAATCGATTTGATTTGCGTGCAATACTCTTCAATCCAATCAAACATGTCTGCATACTCATTACAGCAGATTGACAAATGGCTCAATTTCGAACAGTTTTCGAACAGTGGTCGCGTATTTTGTTTTCCAATGTCGCGAACGAGGAGACGTAATGTGGATAGGTTCTTGAATCGTGCGATGAGTTGAATCAATTCTGCGACCGATGAGTCCCGCATTTCCGCAGCATCTCTCTCGTTCCATTCTTTGTAGCCTTTGGTGATGTTGGTCAACATAAGCTCTTGCATTTGCTCGCAAATGTGATCATCTAGCCCCTTCAAAAAATTGTTGACACTGTCATTGAAGCAGCCAAACTGCAGAAAAGAAGAAAAAACCGTTGAAAATTAAAATATGTTCGAATGATTTGCATCCATAAACTGAATACATGTGTATGAGTGCTCTCACCTTCAGCACAGTCAAATAACGAATGTAATTTGTGTGAACCATGAAACAAAAATCGGCTTTGAAGTATCCAATTTCCAAATGCGTCAACTTGAGAGGATCAAAGTGGCGCAGTTTTCCGTAATCATCCGCAATGCACAATATTTTGATTTTACTCAGGTTCAGTCACGGCAAACATCCATTGAAGAAAAATCGGTCAATGTGAGACATGTTGACCATACTCAATTCGCCCAAATTCGGGCAGTATTGGTTGAGATAGTGATACACATGCCACCCAGAAGACCAGCTATACCAGCCGTCAATTTGGACTCGATGAATATGTGGTCCTAATGATTGAAAAACCTTCTCCTCAACCTTCCCATTGGTCTTTGGCCAAAAGATATCGGCGTGTAACAGGCGGAGACCATTTTGCGAAATTGCATCTTTGATCACTTGTCGCGCTTTTTGGCATGTGTTGAATAAGGCGTGGTGATCGTTGATGCTCAAAACCGATACAATTCTCTGCAAGCATTCGTCGCTCAAGTCCAACAAGTTCGTTGCTGATTGACTGTGAACTGCATCATACCCATCCCAATATAAAACCGAATCTTTGCTCCGAACTTCGCCTCGTTGAGAAGTAATTCTCTCGTTGTAACGTATCAGTGAGAATTTCAACGGATTGTGCTTCGTGATTTTGCCAAGTTCGGCGATGAAAGGGTAGCTTAGCTCTGGCTCCCACTCGTTGCTAGAAATTTCAAGATATGCCAACTTCTTACCGATTCGAATGGAGTGTAAAATGAATTCGTAGAAGTCGGTTTCTCCATCAATATGAACATCAACCAAATACAGTTTCGATAGGCGTGGCAACTGCTCAACAATGTACTCCAACTGCCCGGGTTTTAAATCATATGCGGACATTTTAAGCGATTCCAATTTCTTGAATCGGCCAAGAGCATCAAAAACACTTTCATCCCATTTTTCATTCGCCTTCATGCTGATTTTTCTCAGATTTTGACACGACGTCATTCCACCCAAAATCTCCATGAACGAAGCATGGCCGCTTATTTCAAACGTTTCCAAACTGTTCAATTCAATTGAGTCCGGTTCTTCATCAAAAACTCTCCACACAGGATAGTCCAAACACAATGATTTTAATTTCGGTAATATTCCGCCGAGCGAATGAAGAATATGCATATCCATCTCATTGTATCTACCTTTGAGGCTCAGCTCTTCCAATTGGCGGTTGTTATTAATGAATTGCACCATATCTCTTTCATCCAATCTCATATCGGCCGCATCAAAGCCAATCAATCGAGGATAATTCGATTCTGCCCAAGATTGATTCAGAAGCTTGACGGATTTCAAGTACAGATGAGACAATGTCGGCACACACCGAATAAACTCTCCCAAGTTGATCTCTTTTCCGCCGAAAATCGACGCGTGTCGTAGTGTTTTACAACAATTCCGTATCTGACCAATCAACCAGTGATAAAGGTCGACATTTCTTGAATAATCAACAATTCGAATTGCAGCCATGTCTTCTCCGAATGTGGCGAAATATGGGCGATGTTTGACCTTATCTGCAAACGGATTATTGCATCGCAATTTCAATTCAAAGAACCCTTCGTCACCTTTGCCCGTGTACTTTTTGCTGAAGGCATCTTTGGCAATGGCTCGGAATCGACGGCACACGAGCGTCATGTTGAACAGAGTCATATCATCCAGTTGAGTCATTATTGGCAATAGAATTTCATCTGGAAAGTCGTACAAACCGAATTCGCTTACGTGCCGATCAACATCCATTTTTGCGGCCATCTGTAATTCAATGCAACAATTAAGAATTGTTAATGGCATTTGTAATGAATTTGGTTTGCGAAGCGATACTTGATGTAGGGAAAATGTGTGGTTATTATTCAAAATATATGAAATCAGCAACAAAAAATGAATTCTAGATATTTAAATTGTTCATATTACCTTTGAGACGCTGAAATTCAATGCGTCATCAATTGTTTCCGATTTTATGTCACAATGAGTCTTTATAACAATCAGTGACTTAAGCACAACAATTTTCTTATGAGAAAATATTCAAATGTGAAATTAATGCCACCAAATTGATGATTTCTCACTGTATTTCTGATGATGCTAGCGAAAATGGTGAGCGTCGGTTGCAAACGTTCACTTGAATTGATGCGGGAAACTGTTCTGTCAGTGAGCTATGCGCCAAACGTCAAACTCAATTTGTACAAATCAAATTTGAAACTGATGATTGAACATATTCCGCTATGCCTTTTCTTCACAATGATTCATACTGCGTTTCACTGCAACAATTGAAACCTAAATAAGAAACAAAAATATTCTTTTTTCAGCGGAATATTTTGCTACGAATTTAAAAATGTGCATACAAAATTAAATAAGAGCAAATGACGACGGTTCAATATGAAAGAATCGAACGTTGAGTTCAACAAATATTCAGCCGCAATCTTCTACAGTGGCAACATTCAAAGCGAAGCAAAGAAAAGCAATATTGAGTTTCGTCAGCAGTCTGTACGAGTACGACAACACGAACATGAAACAACGACGCAATTCAAACCGTCGTATACATTACCATTCACAGTAGAATTGTATGACAGAACGCATGCATTGCAAAGAACTTACATTTTGAAGAAAATACCCACTTTATGATGTTTACGCAACAGGGACTTTGGCTGAAAAAGAGAGAATTTCAAGTTTCAAATAAAAAAGACCGATTTTCAAGTTTTCATTCGAATTTTATTTTTCTTTCCTTCAAATCAATGTCACAATATATCACACTTTTTCCAAATCACATTCCTATTGCCAAATTCTTGGCATCTATTGTTTTTTCTGTTCGTCTTTGTTTTCCTCAACTTTTTTTGGCTCCGATTCGACGTGAGCGGCTCCAGTTGGTTGGATATGAATAGTGCGTGCATTTTTGGTATCAATTTCCTTTGGTGGTGCTCGAACGGTTAGAATGCCATCAGCCGATAATGTGGAAACCACATCTTTGATGCTGCAATTCTCGGGTAATGTGTATCGTCTGCTGAAGTGTCGTGAAACGTAGCTGTCGTCTTCATTACGTTCTTCGTGTTTTGCCTCAATGATGATGTTATTGTCGGCAACTTTAACCGAAACTTCTTCTGGTTGGAAATTTTTCACATTCAACGATACTTGAAATCCGTCTTCGGGTGTGCTCACGAATTTTTCACCTTCCCAATAAGGTAGCCGATGTGCACCAAAACGACTCGGTAACACCCAATCGAATGGATCAGTATTCCAAAAGTCTCTCATCAAACTGCGATGACTTCTGGATGGATCGTCCCAGAATAACGATGGCACGAATCTGGAACGATTTCGCACCAAATTCAATGTTGGATTAAACAATTTGGTGGCAACGTTTCTCAATTGCAAAGCCATTTCTTGTAGACTTATTTTTCCACTTTCACTTCACTTTTGAATTGTTCAATGTTTATTGCGTATTTACTGGTTGCTGCAGTGCGATGCGGTCCTATTTATACCCGTCAGTCGCGCAATAGCACACGCTTCTCGAACAATGTTTAACTCACCGTACTGTTCGCAAGCCTTCTACACACATCGCGTGTCGTATGTGTTTTGTTATTGCGTTTCTAGAAAACCCCGCCAGTTCTTCATGAAACACAGTATGCGATACGCAAGCCTATGTGCAACGCATTGACGATACGCTCAATCAAAAGACCAATTCTCCAGAACATTCGAGGTGATTTCATATGGAATACAGTATACTAAAAAGGAAATTCGGTGGAAAGTTCGAGAGATTCAACCGTTGAGTTCAGATTGCTATAAATACGGTGCCGCATCGCAGCTCTGCATCAGTTGAATACAAAACATAACAAAGTTCAAATAATAAACAAACTGTGTTTGCAGAACGCTAACAACCAATTCGATTTTCTCAAGTGAATTTTTGGTGAAAAAAAGTAAAAAAAAAAACAAAACAAAAAGTAAAAATGTCGCTTTTGCCATACATCATTGAAGAATATTACCCAGCCAGCTGCCATCAATTTGGTTCGGGTTATCCAAGCGACTTGTGGGTATCGCCAGTTGAACGCTCGTTGCTTCACTCGCTATCAAACACCGGCAATTATCTGCGATCGCAATTGTCGCATCTGGACGAGCTAGAGAAACATCACTTCGGACACATTGGCAAAGACGGTTTCCAAGTTTGTCTCGACGTTCAACACTTCCAACCGAATGAGATCTCGGTGAAAACGGAAAATAATTCGATTGTGGTGAACGCCAAACACGAAGAGAAGAAGGACGACCACGGTTACATCTCACGAGAATTTACTCGTCGCTATGAACTACCAAAAGGATTCAAGATTGAAGACGTAACATCAAGTCTCTCATCTGATGGCGTTCTCTCGATTAAATGCCCTAACGCTCCAGCCATTGAAGGATCCAACGTGCGCCAAATTGAAATCCAACAAACTGGCCCAGCCAAGCAAAGCATCAAGAGCAACGAGGAGAAGAAGGAAAATGTGCCAAATGGAAAATAAGTGATTTAGAAATAAGATTGATAAAGAGAATAAAGAATGAAATAAGTTAAGAAGGAAAATGGCATAAGAATATAACCGAAATTTTTAGATTCCATCAGATTTGTAATACCTCATTGGTGATCTCAATAATAAAAACCAACCAAAATCAAAATCATTGGTGTTCTATTTATTTTTCGAATAGAATAAGTTCTTATTTTTAGGTCGTCATAAAGTGAAAAACACTCGATTCGTTTCGAATCATATCAATGGATTTTTTTTTGCTGGTTGATGGAAGAAAAATGTCTCTTATGTTCAGAATTTCACTGTTCAAACGAATTAAACAGAAAAAAAACACCTATTTGTTTCAATATACCTCCGAAGCATTCCTTATAAGGTTATTAGCATCGTCGCATTTTATTGATTTGCATTTCGCTTTCGTTTGAATGCTTTTGTATTTAGTCATTTGATTCTTTGTTATTCAAAATGTAAATTGGCTATTCCAATTGAATAATTAATGACTGAATGAGAGTACTAGAGACGATCGGTCAATTTGTATGGTAAGGTGTGTCTGCTTTTGAATGCAAAGCATCATTAGGAATAAAATAAAAAAAAATTTAAATTGGGTCGAAAACTGTGTATTTTCTATTCAGATAAAATATAAATATGTTCACAGGTAAATAAATGTTGATGCCGACCGAGATTTTGTGTCAATAAATCTAAACGTCGGAACTCGGAACATGCTGCATTTTATCCATTTATTGTGGATGTGCCGTTATTTTGGTTTTACAAATAAATATCGAGAAAAAAAAGAATCATTCAATTTAAAATAGAAACAAATGCCCTTCATGACATTAAGACATCAAAGCAATCTGTGACTGTGAATTGTCAATCAATCGATTAATTAATGCAATCGAAATGGTATCTCAATTCAATAATAATGCAATCGAAATGGTTGTTTTCCCTCAAGCGAAAAATGCTCACCGAAAATGGCATTTCTGACAAATAAATTATTGAAATTGGTTGTCTGTATTATCATTTAGGGACAAGAAGAGAGAGAGAGAGAAACAAACACGTCGATGTGTAGTCAAACTGTGTGAACTTGCACTTGAATTTGGCGCGCAATTGAAAATTCAAATGTGTACAACTTGTGTGTATAATTAAAACGCGCGACTCTCATTGATTAAATCAGATGATTGAGCAATTGGTGCATATAAAATTCGTTTGAATATGCATTCGCACAAGATTGATATTTCATAGTCGATTTGTCTGTTCGCCGTTGTAATTCGTTCACCTACGTTTATTAAATTGATCCGCCTTCGTCAAAAAGACTCAAGCCATACCGATATGTTGATCGAGTGTATGTATATCGAAATGCAACGTATGCAATTCGCGTAAACAAAACGAGAGAGGGATTTGTTTTTCTACATCAAGGAAGTGGCCGCGCGAGCGTTTGAAGTGTTGTGCACATTGCATAAGAGATATGCTTTCTGTTTGATGGTCATATAACTGCTACAAGAACACAAACACATGCATGACAAATACCATACGAATTAGATATCGACTGATTTTAAAGAGTCATTCGTTTGTATTTAAAATTTCGATACATTCAGATGCTGAATCGATCAGAAAGCGTTCTTTGTGTGCGAAATTCAATGGATGTATGCATACATTCAGACAGTTGGTGGGCATGGGAATAATTTATACGTAGCGCTGTTCTGTGTGCTTCTCGGTTTCGGTTGCTCGGAATAAATTGGTATTTGCTGAAAAATTCAAGGTGATTTACAAGCCTTTGTATTTCCGATGTATAAATATGGTGAATTAGTTGGCAATCGTTTAGTCCTCAATTTGATTTTGAATTTCGCGAACGCTTCTCGTGGGATCCGATCCGAGTGTAGATATTTTTCTCTATTTCGAGACAACAATAGACCATTGAGTTAAACAACGACGACGACCAAAAAAAATTGTGCGCAATTTCAAACGGTTCTTGTGAATTCAAGTGAAAAGAAAAAGTTTTGAAGATAAAAAAAATGGCTTTGGTTCCATATGAAAGCAGAATTGCTGAATACAAGGATTGGTTGGAGGCGAAACGTCGTTGGAACGATGATGTATGGGCGAATGATTGGATTTGGCCATCACCAGCCGCCTGGGCTAATTATCGTTCGTTGTGCACACCAAATGGATACCTGCGTCCATGGGTGGACTCATACTATGGTGATTTGAATTGCGTTGAACGTGATGTCAAAGTTACGAAAGATGTGTTTCAAGTTCAACTCGATGTGCGCCACTTTAAATCGTACGAAATCGATGTGAGAGTGGTTGGAAATGCGATTGTGATCAAGGGAAAGCACGACAAACGTCCCAAAGTCAATGGTTACATTGAACGACAGTGTATGTACTCGGTTAATTCCTGTTTTTTCCTCATTTGTCCTAGTCACTTTTTGTTGATGTCTTTGCATTTATCGCGCATCTCTTTTTCATTTCAGTTGAACGCAAGTACGACTTGTCAAATGACTTCCGAATCCGTGACGTAACATCATCGTTGTCAACCGATGGCGTTCTAACTGTCAAGGCCTATCCCACAATACCACCACCGACACTTGCCTACATTCGAAATATTCCAACATACCAATCCTTCCGACCATCATACTTGGAAAATTAAGAAAACAACAACAACAATCCAACAAAATCAACCAACGCTGATTACAGTGCAAACAGTGTACGTGCCCGTGGACGTCGTCTCGAATTAAAGAAAATATGCACACATACACACACACACAAATCTATTAACATTTTGATTTTTCGCTAATAATTACAATTGAGAGATAATTCTTTTTTTTTACTATAACAGAGCGTTTTTGTTATGTTTTTTTTGTTGTTGTTGATCTATTTCGTTTTGTCACAATATACAAAAGTCAAATTGGGCTCTTACTAATCAAGATTTCAAAATCGCCTACGCGTTGAGACATGAACGATTCTAATTAAATGTGCTTTTTTTTGTTTAAACAAGTTTTATTAATCGATTCAAATAAAATAATTGCAATCAAAACGACAATTTTCTATTGGTTGTTTCTTTTTCATTTCATTCTTCCTTCATTTCTATTGTTCGATCGCTTCTATCTTTTTTTCTTTCTGTCGTTTTCACTATTTCCCAATCTTTTTTAGTCATTTTCAATTGAGTTGTCTATACATCGGATATTGCTCGTGTGTTATGCTTCAATGAGCTCCTGACTCGACCTTGATTCGATTACGTTTGTTGTATTCGATTACTCATTATTATTGTACACATGTACGACATAGAGTATGAAGAGCGTCCGTCATTCGTTTCTCTATTGAATCGCCGTTTTACGCGATCAAATGAAGCTGCGAACTGATGACTGCCGATTGCCAAATGACTGCACCTAAATTTAGACGGCGACTTTAATTGGCTTTTGAAATGACAACCAGCCGTTTAGTGTACTGCTTGTTGTTGCTGTATCAGACAGCATTTGGCAACGTTTGTTCGGTCTGACGGTCAGCATATGAGACAAAATAAACCATCGAAAATGACCAATTGAAAACATTTTTATGCTTAGAATCGGACACAATACGGCTATGAGTTCATGCTTATTTGGTTTTGTATGCAAATTAGGTGATTAGTCAAAAATGTGGACAGAAATGAACGTAGCAAATTAAATAGGCTGACTTCGTGAATTGGACTATTGTTTCTAATGATAAAACGATAAAACAAAACCAAAAATAGACAGCAAAAAAAGTGATTGATCTTGGCAATTGGCAGCATCATTGGCGTAGAAAGTTTGCGATACATTTGCCACGATCAAGTTCATTGCACAATGAACTGTCAAAATGCGCATGAAACACACCAAACCAAGCGTTGTGAGATTTTTTTTTCATTTTATCGACCGGCTATTCGTTGTGTGGAACCGGCAAACAATCGTCACACAATCAACACAGACAATTCACTTCGATGCAAAGCAATAGAAGTAAAATACACGCCAAACGTGAACAACTACACATAGAGCGTGTACACAAGGGATAGAACATTCGCTACAGTTCGAGATGGTTCGAGCAACGCACCGATACGGTTGACGTATTGACCGCATGCAAAATGCCGGCTATAAAAGGCTGCCGCATCGAATAGTACTGCATCATTTGTGTTGAAGTAATCAAAGTGAAAGCATTTAACGCTATCCGAATCAACAAGTTATAAACCGAAAAAAAAATCACAGTCTTGCCAAGTTAACAGTCGCGAGAAAAGAAGAGAAAAAAAATTACCAAACACCAGAAAAATGGCATTGTACTTGTACAACTCACGTTATCCAACTCGTCGCCAATTCGGTTTTCACCCAGAAGATTTGATGGTGCCATACGAACGAACCTGGGACGCAGTCTCATCGTCATTCCGACCATTTTTCGATGAATTCCGCAATTTTGATGTGAACGACGTCGTCGAAAAATCATCGAAATCATTCGTCGGCAAAGATGGTTTCCAAGTGTCGTTGGATGTTCAATATTTCCAACCGAACGAAATCAATGTGCGCACCGAAAACAACCAAGTCGTTGTCAATGCAAAACACGAGGAGAAACGCGATGACCATGGCTACATTTCACGTGAATTCACCCGTCGCTACGTTTTGCCCGAGGGATTCAAATCGGAAGATGTTACATCGACATTGTCATCGGATGGCGTTTTGACGGTCAAAGCACCACGTCGTGATCCAGCGGTCGAAGGCAATGTTCGTCTGGTGCAAATCCAGCAAACGGGACCGGCTCGCTTGAATGTCACCGCCAACAAAGACGAAAAAACCGTCAACGAAAAAGCCGTCGTCGAAAGAACCTCAAAGTAATCGTACAAACGTTCTTCATTTTCTCCAGAGATTCATTTTTTAGCTCTTCAAACGATTAATTCATATCGTTCGTTTTTTTTTTCAAAACAAAAAAGTAGCGTTAAATTTCATATTTTCATTCCTATTCGTTAAATCAAATATCATGTAAAACATTCTATTAAGCAAACTCGTTGAACTATGTTCTCGCCAAAGTATACGATTTGACATCGTGAAAAAAAAGTGAAATTAAAAATTTTATCTTCAATATTAAGCAAAAAAAAATGCGTCTTTTCATTTTGAAGACTCTTTTTTTCTTCGATTTAGCATTGAAATGGGTATTTGGAGCAATTGTGTCATTGAGATACACATCAAAATGTAAGTACACAACCTTGAAATCTGGTGGAAAAAAAACTTGAGTTTAGGTGAGTAAAAACTTGAACAGCTGCAAACCAGACTTGAATTGAATACAGCGAGAAAGTCGGTCTTTTCTGAAAAAAAAACTTCGTTTCTTCGCAAAAAAACTCTCTTCTTCTTGAAACTGTCTTCGAAAACTG